AGTGCGATTGGCGCAGGACAGAGCAGAGTTTAGGGCTGTTGTACATAGGGTCGCTATGAGTCGCAAGCGATTTGACGGCACATAACAACAACATAAATGAAAAAGATTTTTGTTCTTTATTTTTCTGTCTTTTTCATGCATGGCATAATAAGTATAAATAACTTTTTTGTATTTATTTTAATGAAAGTTTACAGAGACTTGGGATTTTCATTCATTCATAGTTGAATACTTCCCTTCCTTCTCACCACTCCCCCCAGTTCACTTTTTTCTTTGAAAAGAAAAAAAAAAACATTCATTGTTATACAACCCCTTTCCCCCCACAGTCCACTCCACCATGCAGCTTTCATTCTGGACACTTGTCATGACAATAATACCGAATCATATATTCCTCCTAAAAGTTCTCTCCCTCATCTGTTTCAATGCAGTATACATTATTTATCCCCTCTTACTTTCACCCCAACTCCGATGCCAGTCCCACTTTATAACAGTGGTGTTATTATGCAGTATTTGTCCTTTTGTGATTGAGATATTTCACTCAGCCTGATGTCCTCCAAGGTCACCCATTTTGTATAATATTTCATTAGTTCCTTGTTTTTCAATGCTGTATAGTATTCTATTGTGTGAATATACCATGGTTTTTCTGTCCATTGGTTTGTTGATGGGCCCTTGGTTTGTTTCCAACTCTTTGCCATTTTGAACAAAGCTGCAGTAAATGTGGGTAAGCATTTATCTGCTTGAATGGCAGTTCTGGTTTCTTCCGGGTAAATTCCCAATAGTGGAATTGCTGGGTCAAATGATACTTCTATTTGCAACATTTTGAGAAAGCACCCTGCTGCCTTCCATAGTGGTTACACCATTTTACACTCCCACCAATAGTGAACAAGAGTTTCAGTTTCTCCCACAACCTCACAGCATTTGTTGTTTGCTGTTTCTGCTAAATTTTACTATTCTTACTGGGGTGAGATGATATCTCATAGTTATTTTGATTTGCATCTCTCTTAGAGCTAGGGATTTTGAACATTTCTTCATGTGTTTATTCGCCATCTGAATGTCTTCTTCAGTGAAGTGTCTGTCCATACCCTGTGCCCATTTTTCAGTTGGGTTCATTTACCTCTATCTTGTTCAGGTGATCGAGAATTTTATAAATTCTAGATAGACGCTCCTTATCACATATGTCATTATCAAACATTTTTTTTCCCAGTCTGTGGCTTCCCTTTTTACCCTGTTGGAGAAGTTTTTGGATGTGCATAGGGATTTGATTCTTAGAAGGTCCCATTCATCTATTTTCTCTTCTCCTGGTTGTAGATTTTAGAATACTTGGAAGACTGTTTAT